CATGACTAAAGGTATCAAAGTAATCAAGTCCATAGGCTTGATTAAATCCTTGTGCAACCAAGCACGCCTTGTACCGAGCAAGTGAACCATCTGCATTTCGTTTGGTATGATAAATCCATTTACAGCCAAGCACATTAAAAGTAGGAGACATAGGAACTAAGGTCCATGTTCCTTGTTGTTGTAAGGCCTCAAATTCAGAGGACATTGCTTTTCACCATTCAGGAAATTTAACAGCATGACTGTAGCAGGTGGGATTGTCGGGAACAGCTACATGAAGTAAGTCAAATATCTTTTCAGGTGGTAGTTTACCTGTTTTGGATCGAGTGACCATTGAGTGGGTGGAGGGAAGGACAGCAGCTGGCTCGGGTAAAGAGATTGGAGGAGAGGCCGTGGATGTAGGAGAATTATTGTAGTTTGAAGTGGATGGAGAAACAGAATGAGTGATTGTATTAGTTGGAGTAAGGGAATTATTCTGCAGGTCTGTAGGAGAAGAGGATGCCTTAGAAGGTAGAGCAGATACAGGAACAAGTAGAGAAGGAGGCACAAGTGGCATTGGTGAAGTAGACTTTGAACTTTGCAGTGAGTGATAAGGAAAAATGTTTTCAAAGAACTTAACATGGCGAGAAAGATATATGCGACCGGTAGAAGGATGAAAGCACTTGTATCCTTTTGTGACATCAGTATAACCGAGGAAAACACAAGGAAGGGAACGAGGTTGAAATTTATGGTGAAGTTGAGTTGGAAGCCATGGATAACATAAAGAACCAAAAACTTTGAAGACGATATAATCAGGCAAGCTGTTAAACAAACATTCATATGGAGAACGATTATTGAGTATTTTAGATGGCAATCTGCTAATAGTAAAAACAGCAGTTGAAAGCGCTTCTGGACAAAAGTGATTGGGTAATTGAGAGTGGAAAAGAAGAGCACGTATTGTTTCTAACAAATGCCTGTGTTTCCGTTCAGAAATGTTATTTTGCTGTGGGGTGTAAGGACAGGTTCTTTGATGAATTATACCATAAGAATTTAAATAAGATTTAAATTGATTATTGATATATTCACCACCTCTGTCCGTTCGAAGAATTTTAATAGAATTATTGAATTGTTTTTCCACAAACGATTTGAACTGAGTAAATATGAGAAAAGTTTCCGATTTTGCTTTCATCGGATAAACCCAGCAGAAGCATGTAAAATCATCAATAACCAAAAGATAATATCTATAACCTTGCAAAGAAAGTACAGGAGAAGGTCCCCATACATCACTGTGAATTAACTGAAGACAGGAAGTAGTTTTCGGAGAAGCTAAAGAGAAAGGCAACCTATGAGATTTAGCTCGCACGCAGGCAGAGCAATGAAAATTAGCAGAAAAATTAAAACTAAATACAGAACGAGGAAGTAGCCGAAGTGTGGAGGGAGACGCATGCCCAAGACGATGATGCCAGACATCGGAAACAGTTTCAGTTGAATGAAGAGCGACGGGAGATGTTGATTGACTAGGCGAGGTAGTTGGATGGAGCTTGATGGGATAAAGACCGTGAAGACATGGACCGCGGAGGAGAATCTTGTTGGTCTATAAGTCCTGAATGAGAAAGCCATTAGCATCAAAGACAATTGAACAAGAATTATCATGAGCTAATTTGTTGACTGAGAGTAGATTATGGGAAAGATTAGGAACATGTAGGAGGTTTTGAAGGTGAAGCTTACGTGTAGGAGTAGGTAAAATACCCTGTCCAGAATTTGCTATAGCTAGATGTTGACCGTTCCCGATCTGCACCTGTGAGGATCCAGTGTAAGCTTGCGGAAGCTGAAGCTGCTGAAAGTTGGACGTCAAATGAGAAGTAGCACCAGAGTCTAGAAACCAATCATCCGTAGGAGCTTGATCAGTAGCAAGATAGGCTTGTTGAGGTTGTTGGTAGGAGAGATCAGCTCTATACCAACATTGAAAAGCAGAGTGCCCTGGCTTGGTACAAATTTGACATTGAATAGAGGAGCGAGGATGACGTCCTCCGCGAACCATGTTAGAATAACTGCGACCTCCACGAGCAGACGAAGGCGAAGCATGACCACGATTTGAATTAGAAGTATAGCCACGTCCCCGAGAGCGGCCTTTAACAGCTTGAAGAGCAAATGTACCTTCGTCAGAAGGAGCAGAAAGCTGTTGAATGGGAATCTCAGATTGAATACTTAGTTCTTCTGCACACAAAAGAGAGTAGAAATCATCAAGACCAATAGGCAGAAGTTGAGTTCTAATTGCCGTCTTGAAGGCATTATATGCTGGAGGAAGTCCATTAAGCGTGTACAGTAGAATGTCACCGGAGTCGACAGTACAGCCAGAGGCAGTAATAGCATCGACCTTTTGTTTGATCTCCGAGAGGTATTGAACCATGGATTTTTCTCCTTTTTGAACGTGATGTAGTTCACTTTTAAGTTGTAGCTGCCGAGATCGGTTAGTAGATTGCAGACGCTTATCAATGGTTTCCCAAATATCATGACAGGTATCAAGATTCAGAACATAGGGTAAGAGTGACGGAGAGATGGTGGAATAAAGTGTCGAAGCTAAATTCTGATCAATAAGCATCCAAGTTTGAAAGGCTTGATTTGCTGTAACAGATCCATCACTTGCAACAATTTGTTTGGGTGGTGGAGAAGAAGAACCATCCAAATAGCCGGCAAAACCATTAGCCGAAAAAAGTTTTAGAATCTGAGATTTCCAAATGGGGTGATTTTCAGCAGTAAGCTGAGTGTTAATTACTGACTTGACATTCATCATCAAGAACTTGAGCTGCGGCGGTATTTCCGTGTTGCTCATACTGACCTGAGTCGCAACTTCAGGAATCACTGTAGACGGAGGTTGAGATGAGGATGACGAATCCATTGAGCTTGATGGTGTTAACCGAGTAGCTCTGATACCAAGTTGAAATGCTTGATCGGAGAGAAGCTTTTGAATCCTGCAATAATCACAAAGCTAAAAACAGAGAAAGGTTAAAGTAGAAGAACTGGAGCTGAAACCTTTCGTTCATTTCCACCTTGCTAGCTACAGTGAAAAACTTCTCTTAAATAAAGAGAAGATGATCTAGCCGTTACACATCAACGGTGGAGATCAAAGAGTAGTGGACTGCTACACTTGCAGATCCTGAAAAAGCTGTAGAAAGCAGAGCACAGTGGTGGAGAAAGGAGCCGTTTTTAATGATAAGTGAGAATGCTTATCAATTTGAACTTATTCGTTATCAAAAGTCTCTACATTTAAACCAAATGTGATCATACTAAAACCGGATTATTTTTCAAAGAATGCGAGTAAATAACAGAGAGTATGCAAACTGCTGTTAAACCAAAGGATGCGAGGAAATAACACAGATACTTCTGTTGTTAAACCAAAATTATTTTTCATTCCAATACACTTGTAGAAATTTTTTTCATTCCACAAATTTGAACTATAATGGACTTGATCACCATGTCAGTACAAGGTTTCAAAATGATTAAGCATGAAAGAAATGTGATAGGAAATGATCAACGCTACTCGGTAATCACCAGAGGGCAAGCGTGAAAGAAATGTGATAGCTTCTTAGCATGCTAAACAGTGTAAATCGTTTTGCCTTCTAATCTTTCTATGTAACCGCATAAGCTAGCGAGAGGATAAAACTGCAGCTTACCAAGATATGGCAATGGAAGAAGACAAACTGCAACTTACCGAGAAGACAAACTGCAGCTTACCGAGAAGACAAATTGCAGCTTACCGAGGTTGCCTTTCGCGGAAGAGCAGTTGCCTTTCGTGGAAGAGCAGGAGAAGAGGTTGTGTTTCGCGGAAGTTTGGACAGAGTGACGTTTCATTTGGACAGAGTGGTATTTTTTGTTGTAAAATTAGTATTTGGGTGGTAGGGATGTAATATTTAAGTTTTAGGTGTTAAATATGTAATATACATATAATAAAGTGGCATGTATGTAAATCACCCTAAAAATAAATATTGTTAATAAATTAAAATTTTAATTTAAAATTAAAAAATCAAGCATAACAATTAAGTAAAGCTCAAGTATTTCAAACGAGCTCGAGCCTAAAAATTTTTCAACAAGTCAAACTCGAGCTTAATAAATTAGCTCGAGTTGAGCTCCATAAGAGCTAAATAAACTTAGTTCGATCAGATAGATACTCTACTCCACTTGACTCTTTTACACTCTTATTATAGCTGATCTTTTATTTATCTTTTACTATTTTTTAATATTATAACATGATAATTAAAATAAAAAAAGTTGAATATTTTTGGACTTTTAAATATCTTTCAAATTTGATGATGGCCTCTTGATGGAATTAATGCTCTTAAGCTAATTTGATTAAGATAAATCTTAAGCTTGATGGTCGGTGAGTTAAAAAAAAAAAGTTAAATCTTAAGCTACTGTGGGCAACTTAAAATTCTCATAAATAATTAACATATCCTACATCCTTATTATTGCGTATCTACCCAAAAAGCTGTAAGTAACCGCTTTTCAACTTTTCTTTAAAGTGGACGAGCTCATGGTTCATATAACCTTTTTTTTTTCCTTCTTTCAAAAAGAATTTTTAATACTAAAATTTTTTTAATTCAAAAAATTTTTATACTAAAAAATCACTTGATAAAATAATAAGAAAATTATCCCAAACAAAACCTTAGAATTACAGGTTCATAAAAAAAAAAAAAAGACTCATATCGTAAAAACTATAAAGCTTTGACATCTTTAATATCATCATCAAGAAAGATCAATCAACCAAGAGCTTTAAGCTTCAATTGGGGCAACTTATTGCTTTCATTTTTAAATTACAACCATAAATAGCAGCGGATCCTGTATTTATGAGGCTGGTTGCTAATAGACTCGTCGAGGGATTAGTTACACCACCAAACGTCTCCTAAGGGATGACAGCGGGTAGATACCCCCTTTCCAAAGAAAAAACTTTTTCAAAAATTTCTAGGGATATTTATTAGAGCTGATACAGAGGGAATTTTCAAATGTGCTTAAAAAAGAAGCATATATTATATCTTCCCCTAAAAGCTTTATTTGATAAGCAAATGATTCTCAACCAAGAAAATTATGAAAAATGCAACAATGGCTATCGTTTTAGCAATACAATCACACATGATTGCAAATTTGGTGAGCTATCCATTACGAAAGCTGAGAATATTCCTTACTGACCATTTTTTGTTTAAAATTATGAATCGTTTGATCATCAATATCTCAATCGAATCATTCTTTGCATAACAAAATGGAGCCATCTTATCAGTATGAATCAGCTTAAATATTTGGCAAACAAGGCCTTAGCAATTGAAAGGGCATCACCTTCAGCTTTAACTGGGTAAAGCTCCTGACCTCCTTGCCATTTGTTGGAATAAGAAATCCAATTTTTTCTCCATTTCTCCAGAGGAAAATCTTCGTTCTTCTCTAAGCTTTCTAACAGGTAGCTGAAATAAGTTGAAGCTCTTGGCAGATAGTAGCTTTTCAGAAGTCCACTCCAGAATTTGTTAGCTGGAAATGAAAGAATAATTAACAAAACATTCACTGGCAAGCACTCTTTAATACAAATTTCCCAAATTTTATGGACTGACCATAATCATGAAGTTGGCTCTGGTTGGTCTCTGTGTTATCAAACCACATTGTAATTTGTGTTCTGGCATTCCATTCATACTGAAAAAATGGTGCACAAAGTTATGACAAAGTGTAGAGAGCATTTAATAATCTGAAAGACAAAATAGAACCCACCTGTTTTTTTTCCTCGTTATTTACTGCTAATTTCTTGGCACTTTCTAGCCAAGTTCCAAGCAGGAAATTGTCATCAGAGGCCAGAAGAGTGTCGATGTCCTCAATGAGTTCAGTAAATTTCTTAATTTGAAGACTCAGTTCACCAGCATCTTTTTGGTGATAGGCATTAATGGCATCCAGATAAACCTGGTTTGATAATTTGGCAAGCACTTGCCTCGTCAGGTCAACAAGGTCGTATCTGGCAAGAAAGAAAACTGACCGGTTAGAAATCATATGAAGTTTGTTTCCACTATATAATTCCTTGAAAATAGTAAGAATTACTGCAAAATCAGCCCTTCTTACGCTTCGTTTAGGACGGATTTCTTGTTGCTTCTAAAAGAAGCTTTTTAGTAAAAAAATTTTAATTTTTTTACTAAAAAGTTGCTTTAAGAAGCAACAAAAAAAATCGTTCCAAACAAAACTTTAATGGAATTGTCCCACTCTGCATGGATATGCGTCTGTTATGCATGTATGACAGAAAAAGAGGGGGAAAAGTTTGGGAACTGCTGCTGTACCTGTATGTAAGACTTTCTGAAAGACTGGTTCCTGCCAAAATAAACAATTTCAAAGCCTCTATCACCTCTTTAGTTGAATACCATAAATGTGGTTCTTGAGGGTTAGATTTGGTCTCCCTGAAGGAGAATCTGCTATTCGTATTTTTGGAGATATGTAAAACTTGACTACCCTTCTGACGTGGAGTGAAGTCTGGAAATTGAACTATAAAATCTTTATTATGATCCTGCATCAAAGACAATTAGGAGATGAACATAAAGGATAAAGACGAGGGCACAAGTTAAAATCTTAATTCAGTAAATGTAGTGATGCAGTCATTAAATTAACTATCATAACTTTCAATGCTAATTTAGGCTTCATTTGGGACGGCTTTTTTACTGCTTCTTAAAGAAGCTTTGGGGTGCAAAATTTTAACTTATGTATTAAAAAGTTGTTTTAAGAAACAGTAAAAAATCATCCCAAACGGAGCCTTAATATCATCATTATCTCACCATCAAGCCATTCATCATCATATCATCATTATCCCACCAGTATCAAATTAGATTAGACATTATGCTGTTGAGAACGATTAGTCTCTTCTTTATTTTTTTTTAATTTTTTTTTTTACTTCTTTTTTCATCTCTTCTTTATTTTTGTTATACGCTTTTATGCCATCTCTTTAAGCAAGGACTTGTTAGTCATGCTTTAATGTAAAGTGGATATTACGTAATTGTTAAAACCATCAGCTCCTTAATTGAGTGATATTGCCTTTGATATTTAAAATGAAGGCCGAAGATTTGAATCAATGCAAAAAAATGAATTGTTTAAATCATGCTACTCCAATAACTAACTCTTGCATCCTATTTTAGACCTATCTGATGAACTATATTAGTGAATTGTTCCTCTAGCAAGCAACAAACCACTCCACCACCAATTAAGAACACTGAAAAATCATCCTTCTCCTTCTAGGACTTGTATCTGAGACAATCAGATCTCTTCACCTCAGGAAAATTCCCTTGCACCTTTTTCTGCTTCGCCTATTTAGTAAAACCAAATTTACCTTACCAAAGAACAGATCAACAAAAACATGTAATGCTTTGATCACCACATCGCAAACCGCTTCTAAATCTCCTTAGAAGTAGTAAAAACTAGCTATTTGATCATCCACCATACATTTTATCCAAAAGCCATAGTTTTATATTTTTATCATTACAACAAGTTACTGCAGAATCACTTTCTTTCTATATTTTTATCATTACAATATGTTAATGCAGAATCAATTTCTATAACTCTGGTTAGCTGTTTAAGTTGTTTTAGCTTGACGACCTTTATTATTTGACAAATTTCTCTTACAATTGATCTATTCTGCAAACCCTACAGCAGATCTCCAACCATCCCTGCAGCCCAATCTTCAAGTCAACAACATCAACATCAAGCCTTTATCCCACTATATGGGGTCAACTATAAGAATCATTTTTCTCCATTGTGTTATATTAAGAGTCAAATTTTTATTTAAATCTAATAAAAAATATCATTTCTAATATTTTCTAACCAAGTTTTTTTAGGTCTGCCTCTACCTTTTTTAAGGTAGGCCAAATCAAATACATCTACTCACCTAACTGGGTCATCGAAAGGTCGACGTTTTATGTTATCAAACCATCTAAGGCGATTCTCTCTAATCTTATTTGCCACTGAAGCTATTCCAACCTTTTCATGTATATCCACCTGAGCATCCTCATCTCTGCAACACTCAACTTAATTTTATGCTTATCTTTAAATGAAACATTTTGCACCATAAAACATTGCATGTCTCACCAACATCTTATAAAATTTTCCCTTAAGTTTAAGGGGTACTTTTCTATCACACAACAGGCCCGATACTTTCCTCCAACTCAACCATCTAACTTGAATTCTACTAATAATATCCTCATATATTTCAACATCACTTTAAACAATAGACCCGAGATATCTAAAACGTGTAATCTTATTAATAACTTGATTACCCAAAGTCACAATCATCTCACTAGATCTATTACTACTAAAATTAAACACCATGTATTCGGTTTTAGATTTACTCAAATGAAAACCTTTATACTCTAAGGTTGACCTCCATAATTCAAGTTTATCTTCAACCCTCTCTCCAGTCTTATGAACAAGAAGAATATCATCAACAAAAAGAATACATCAAGGTACATCTTCTTGCAAACATCTAGTAAGAACATCCATGACTAAAGCAAAAAAGATGTGAACATAAAGCTAATCCTTGATGTAATCCAAAACTAAAATAGGAAAATGCTTGGTCAAACCACTTTATATTTGAACACAAACAATAGCTCATATATATACATATCCTTAATGGCTTGAACATAACCATTACTAACCCCTTTTTTTCTAGAACTCTCCAGAGCACTTCTCATGGAACTTTGTCATATGTTTTTCTCTAAATTAATAAATACATATATAGACCTTCCTTACTCTCTCTTTACTTTTCAATCAAATCTCTCAACAAATGTATAGCTTCCATAATAGACCTACTGGACATGAATCCAAATTGAATTATCATCGAAGTAATGTTAAGGTAATGTAAATAATATTTATCATCAAGTAATGCGAAAGGAAATACGCACCATAGTGCAGAAGTTTGCTGAATTTCAGAGAAATTCAACCAAAACAGAACAGATCTTTATAAAATTGTAAGAAATCTGAAAGAAAAACACTTAAAATTAACTAATAGAAGGAGAAAAATAACACAAGATACAAGAAACTTCAATTTGAGAGGAAGATTCAACTCTCTCAATCTTTAGCCAAAGACTAGAGCACAAAATCAGCACAAGGATCCCAAATTTCATATTTAAATTCAAGATAAACCCTAACCCTCACAAGAGAAACTAATTAAAGCAAAGAGGACAAATACAAATTACTAAACAGCCTCTAATTCAAATTTTCCCTCCCAAAGCAATATTTAATTGAGTTGATCCCTCCCAAAGCAATATTTAATTGAGTTGTGGGCCCCACTACTTAGTTGCCCCCCTCTCCATGGTTCCGCCTCCCTTGGGCCCGCCGCCTATATACAAAAACCGGTCCACTAGGTACCGGCTCAACTGGTTCAGTCGGCCCCCTTGGGCCGGCTGGCCTAACATTACCCCCCTCCCAAAGACTTACCTTGTCCTCAAAGTGAAATGAAGGAAATTGAACTTTAACCCTCTCATATGACTCCTAGGTAGCATCAAATTCAGGTCTATTTAATAAGAACTTCTTTGTTTCCCTCTTTATTTGATCTTACCCCTCTTAGCTCTAGTGATTCTAATACCACTTCCAATTACTCTATTAGTATAGCTGGTAACTCTACACGAACTACATGCTCCCCTAGAGCTCTCCTCAATTGTTACATATGGAAAACTGGGTATATGGTGGCAAATGGGGGTTACTTCAGACGGTACGCCACTACTCTGATCCTGTCCAGAATCTCATACGACCCGAAGTACCTCGAAGCCAATTTCTCGTTCCTCATGTTAGCAACTATCCTCTGCTTGTAGGGTTGTAGTTTTAAGAATACATTATCTCCTACTTCAAACTATATGTCTCTCCTATATGAATATGCCAGCTTCTTCATGATTTGTTGTGCCATCAACATATATTTCTTCAACTCCTCCAACACCATGTCCCTTTCCTCCAAGTATTGCTTAATTGACGAAAATGTTGTGTTTTTTGTCCGAAAGTGCACTAAGTGTGGGGGTCCCTTCCATACAACACTTTAAAATGAGTCATCTGAGAAGTAGATGGCATGATGCATTGTACCAATATTCAGCTCATGCTAACCATTTTGCCCACATCCTCGATATTTCAGAAGCAAAACACCTCAAGTAAGTCTCCAAACTCCAGCTTACTACATCCATTTGCCCATCCATTTGAGGATGGTAGGTGGCGCTTCTCTTGAGAATTGTGCCCTGCAACCTGAACAGCTCCCTCCAAAACTAGTTGAGAAACATTTTGTCCCGATTAGACACTATCAACTCAGGAATCCCATGCAGTCTAACCACCTCATTGATGAATGCAGCTGCCACTGTCACTGCGGCATAGTGGTGTCATAAGGGGATGAAATGTGCATACTTACTCAGCCTATCAACCGCCACCATAATAATTGTGAACCCCTCCAATCGTGGTAGGATATCTATGAAATTCATGGATACTTCCTCTCATACCCTATTTGGAAGTGATAATGGTTGTAGTAACACACCTGGAGCCATAGTTATGTAATTGTTTCTCTAACATACCTCACACATTGCCACCATCTCCTCCACATCTTTATGCATCCCCTTCTAGTATAACTCCACAGCCAGTCTCCTATATGTCTTCTCTACCCCGGAATGGCTTCAAACTGCATTCCCATGAAACTCCTATAGTAGGTGGGGAATATGAATAGAGGTTCGTGGCATCACAAACCTCCCCTGATGTAAGAGTCTCTCCCTCAAGTGAGTACCTAGGATAGCTACTTGTATCCTTCATCAAATCCTCTCTAATCTTCCTCAACTCCTCATTCTGCATGCTCTCTTCTTTGATAGCCCCCCTCAGTCTACCATTAGTGGTATTGAAATTGCCATCCACTGGAGCTCCCCAACACATCTTGATAAAGCATAAGCTGCCTTATTTTCCAAACCTGGCATGTACTAGATCTCAAAATCATAGCCTAGCAATTTGGACAGCCACCTCTGATGTTCCTCAATCACCATCCATTGTTTTAACAAGTATTTCAGCCTCTGATCTGTCCTTGCAATGAAATGCATACCCAGCAAGTAAGGCGCCACTTTTGAATAGCCAGCACAATCGCCATCAATTCTCTCTCATACTGACTTCAGCCTAGTTATGGCTGACAAGACTTGACTATAATATGTTATAGACCTGTGGTTCTACATGAGTACGGCCCCCAACCCATGTATAGACGCATCGGTCTCCACTATAAACATTTGGCTGAAATCTAGGAGACCTAAAACTGGGACAGTAGTCATGGCTTTTCATCAGTCTCTCAAAAGCCTGGGTTGCTGCCTCTCCCCATAAGAAGCCAGCCTTCTTTAGCTACTCGGTCAAGGGCCAAGCTGTGGTATTGTATCCCCTCACAAATCTTCGGTAGTATCCAGTCAACTCCCTCAGATTCTTAGGCAAAGGTAACTTCTGCATTGCCTCAATTTTGATTTGATCAGCCTGCACAAAGCTGCACTTCTTTAGGTTGGCCCTAAGCTGATGCTCCTA